TATTCAAGAAGGTAGACTGTAGACAACCTCATTTAAAGGCGTGCAAAGTAAGCATTTAGAATCACATTCGACATCAATGATTTAGCACATGCGCTCATTTGAATATCGACAAAGCATAATCGACTCTGCCGTGTGCGTGCCGGCCTAGAATAGCACCACCCCTCTCGTCCCGTGGGTGTCGTAAAAGGCGACTAAGGGAACACAGCCAGCAGAAGACGGGCAGCAGCGTCTTGTTACAATATCTTGGCTGTACTGCGATCGCCAACCCGCCTGCCAAGCGTGGCGATTATGGCAAAACCCCCCCAAGAAATGAGTAGCACAATTAAAGATTGGCCCCCAGTCCCCGGCAGCCCTGCTATTCCTAGCCACGGTAGCAGCTATGGTAACGGCGGGGCAAGGGGTGCTAAGAATCCCCGGGTAAGATCCGGCTACCACCTACGACGACTCGACCTGGCAACCTACAACACGCGCACACTGAGGACCGACGCTAAGCTAATAGAGTTGGAAGAAGCTATTAGTAAGTTACGTTGGGATATTATTGGATTATCTGAAGTCCGAAGAGAGGGAGAGGACTCGATAATCCTCAATTCCGGTAACTTGCTATACTACCGGGAGGGCGATCAACAGTCCCTAGGCGGTGTCGGGTTTATCGTCCACAAGTCCCTTGTCCACAACGTCATCACCATCGGAAGTGTGTCGACCAGGGTAGCATACCTGATCAAAACGATATTCGTTGAATGTCATACAGGTTTATGCTCCGACCTCAACGCACCCAGATGATGAAGTGGAAGCTATGTATGAGGAGATCACTAAAGCCATGCATAGCTACAAAACACACTACACGGTTGTGATGGGGGACTTTAACGCAAGGTTGGGGAAGCGTTGCGGTGATGAGTTGAGAGTGGGGCAATTTGGAGTTGGACAACGGAACGCCAGAGGACAGATGTTAGTAGATTTTATGGAGAAGGAGAACCTCTATATGATGAACTCCTTCTTCAGGAAACCCCAAAATCGAAAATGGACCTGGATGAGTCCGGACGGTAAAGTCCGAAACGAGATCGACTTTATCATGTCGACGAAAAAGCTAATATTCAATGATGTCTCTGTGATTAACGCCGTTAAAACGGGAAGTGATCACCGGTTAGTACGAGGCACATTGAATATCAACATTAAGCTCGAAAGATTTCGAATGATGAAGTCGACGCTCCGACCAATACCTGCACAACTACAGAACCCCGAGAGCTTTCAACTCGAGCTTCAAAACCGCTTCGAATCCCTTGAGAACAGCCTAGATGTGGACGATCTGAACAACACGGTGGTAGATACTGTCCGTACGGTAGGGTCCAAGTATTTTAAAGCCCACCGTACCAAAATTAAGAAACTCTCTGACAAAACTCTCCTACTCATGGAACAGCGGAACGAAATGAGACTACAGAATTCAGGAGATGCAAGTCAGTACCGGCAGCTAAATAGACAGATATCACAGTCCTTGACGAGCGATCTTCGCCGATTTAATACACATTGTATCAAAGAGGCTATTGAGCGCAACAAAGGCTCCAAAGTGTTCGCGAGAGATCTGTCTATTGGGCAAAGCCAATTGGCAAAGCTGAAGACTGACAGCGGTAGCATCATTTCGTCTAAGGCTGAAATCCTGAGGGAGATTGAGAGTTTCTATGGACAGCTATATTCTACGCAAGCACCTGTTGAAAGCAAGGCTAGAGACCCCAGAGCCAAGCTTACTCGACACTACACTGAAGATATCCCGGACATCAGCCTGTATGAGATTAGTATGGCTCTCAAACAACTTAAAAACAACAAGGCGGCGGGTGATGATGGAATCACAGCAGAACTTCTGAGAGCGGGCGGTAAGCCGATACTTAAAGTCCTCCAGAGGCTTTTCAACTCCATCATCCTTGAAGGCAGAACGCCAAAAGCATGGGCCAGAAGTGGGGTTGTCCTGTTCTTCAAGAAAGGTGACAAAGCACTCTTGAAAAACTATCGACCAATCTCGCTTCTTAGCCATGTTTATAAGTTGTTTTCGAGAGTCATTACGAATCGTCTCGCACGCAGGTTTGATGACTTCCAACCTCCCGAACAAGCCGGTTTCCGCAAAGGCTTCAGTACCATAGACCACATTCATACGCTGCGGCAGGTTATACAGAAGACCGAAGAGTATAATCTGCCATTTTGTTTGGCGTTCGTGGACTATGAGAAAGCTTTCGATTCGATTGAGACCTGGGCGGTGTTACAGTCTCTCCAAAGGTGCCAAGTAGACTACAGGTATGTCGAGGTATTAAGGTACCTCTACGAAAACGCCACTATGTCAGTCCGATTACAGAACCAGAGCTCCAATCCTATCCAATTGAAGCGAGGCGTGAGACAGGGAGATGTGATATCTCCGAAACTGTTCACAGCTGCATTGGAGGATATTTTTAAGCTTCTGGATTGGAAAGGACGAGGCATTAACATCAATGGCGAGTACCTTTCGCACCTTCGTTTCGCCGATGATGTAGTTCTTATGGCTGAGACCTTGGAAGATCTTAACACGATGCTCGAAGATCTTAGTAGTGCTTCCCAAAAAGTGGGTCTTAAGATGAACATGGAGAAGACGAAAATTATGTCAAATGCCCATGTACTACCCGCTCCAGTTAAAATTGGGAACATTACACTCGAAGTTGTCGACTGTTACGTCTACCTAGGACAGACAGTCCAGTTAGGTAGGTCCAACTTTGAGAAAGAGATCTCTCGTCGTATCCAGCTCGGATGGGCAGCGTTCGGGAAGCTACGAAAAATATTCGCGTCCAAATTACCTCAGTGTCTCAAGACAAAAGTCTTTGACCAGTGTGTGTTGCCAGTGATGACCTACGGAAGCGAGACGTGGTCCTTTACTGCGGGTCTCATAAGAAGGCTCAAGGTCACGCAGCGAGCAATGGAGAGAGCGATGCTTGGTGTTTCCCTACGCGATAGAATCAGAAATGAGGAAATCCGTAGGAGAACCAAAGTTACCGATATCGCTCAAACGATGGCTCTGCTGAAGTGGCAGTGGGCGGGACACGTAGCAAGAAGAACCGATGGCCGTTGGGGCGGAAAGGTTCTGGAATGGCGACCACGCACCGGACGACGCTCTGTGGGTAGGCCCCCCACAAGGTGGACCGACGATCTTGTGAAGGTCGCGGGAAGCCGATGGATGCGAGTGGCGCAGGACCGATCGGTGTGGAGATCCTTGGGGGAGGCCTATGCTCAGCAGTGGGCGTCATACGGCTGACATGATGATGATGATGATGATGATAATCGACTTTAAACAAACTTATGATAAAGCAGTAGATGCATAAAGAATTAGTAAGACATATTGATAGGACGTTTATGTCTACTAACAAATTATTTCATTTTATCAACCTATTCTCCTTTGGGTAATGCGAAACAAAGTTTGATTTTACCCTGGTTCTTATCGTTCAGTATTGTTAATTGAAAAAAATACTTGTAGGTAAGTAGTTAATAAAAAATACACGATGAATAACTTTATTTGAATAGTTGAAATAAAATAAGTACACGAGGAATAACTTTATTTAAATATGTATTTGAATTGAAAGATGCGCTATTACAGAATTTACAGAAACTGAAATAGAATCGCTTCTTCAAGCCTCATTTGAATGAAGTATCTCATATTGCAGTTAATAATTAGGAAAGTGGCGTTCTATGTTACTAATTCGTTTATGCTTTTTATATAATAAACCTACAAACTGAGTAAGGTCGACATGCAAAATTGCAGTTTTGAAACAGGAATTAAGAAATTGAAATATACTTATTTTTTCTGTGTTTGCACATACAAATCATTAACAAAACAAATAAGAGTTGTTTTGTGACTACGGAGCCTGTGAAGGATCCAAAACATCAAATAACCGATAATGTAAATAAAAAAATAGATTTCGGCACCATATCAGTTTAAAAATTTGCTTTAATAAAAGATTAAAAATATTATGCAAAGTGCACCTGGTAATGACGATTTCGTTTTTGATACCTCGTTATCGACACCCAATACTCATTCAAATGTCATAAAAATTTAGGTCTGTACTTAACATTAAAATACAAACCATTAATTTCAAAACCAAATAAATTTCAACCCCATCTGATGGTTTTCGCAACTAATATGCATCGTGAAACAAGAAATAAACTACACTACTACTGAGTCACTACATGTATTGCCCCATATCACCGCTATAGATAAAGTAATTTCTTTGTTGTCTACCTGGACCAGCGTTTCTCAGAAATCAGTTATTATTTTCCTCGATGCTAACACGAGCGATTAAATCAAAAGGGTTTTTATGACAGTCCGCATATAGCATAATTTTTAGAATACTTTAGTATGAGTGCATGAAGTAAATATAGTAATTAAAATTGAAAATAGGTATATTTTATTTATTAAATTCAAAGCCTTATTCAGATACGAGATAGATTGTCTTAATTGATTTGAATACTAAAAAAATGCTATTTTTCAATTAAAGTTCAAATTATTAAACTAATCTCTGGATCTCTGGTAATCTTTACCTATCCCAAGGGTAGATTTATTGGGAAAGGTAAATTAATGTAATATTATTATGTTTCGCAATAAGCGAAACACAATAATATTTCACAACAAAAATAAGAAAACATTTGTTGACCTTACTAAAAGAAATAACTTATTATAATATATTTTATACTCATCATCATCATCATCATATCAGCCGCAAGACGTCCACTGCTGATCATAGGTCACTTTGTGCTCATGTGCTCAGTACCTAATAAGGAATGTCAGTGCAAGAAGGTGGGGACACTATACACATTTCATAAAGTCTTCGTATACATTGTGTGTTTATTGGTTGGTTGTCCATCGTTTGTGTGCGTGTGTGTGTGTGTTGTTATTCAGTCTGCGACATGAATTTTAACAGAGGAAAATTCAACCTTATGCTCCAACCAATAGAGACGCAGGCTGAACGCAAAAATGTTAATTTCTCAGTACCCACCTATTTGACAGAGGCTGGAGACTGGGGCGCGGAACTTGGGTGGCACGTTGCTTTCGGGGCCCACTCGCAGAAACTGGCACTCCTCGCTGGTGTCAGCCACTAGTGACTCCATCTCCAGCAACCGTTCGATCGACAGTTCCTGTTATTCAAGCAACACTTTATTCCACACTTACTCATAAAGATATAAAGTTCTATTGTTTATAAGAAGTAATCTCAGGAACTTCAAACCCGATTTTGAAAATTCTTTTACCAATAGAAAGCTACATAATTCAAGCCCCCTTGTATGACCACAAGAAAGCGATATGATAAAGCGATTTATCTATATTGACAGTAAAACGACAACGTAGTTTGACAGTTGCGTGTCGATAAAAAACTTTGAAAACACATGCTACATGCTGAGTGACTTATCAGGATTGCTTTTATCGCATTAAAATAAATTTCACCCGTGCAAAGTTGGGGTGGGTGGCTAGTCATCTTGAGACATGAAAGATCCGGCACTGGATCTGAGAGATGAACTATTGATTTATGTTGTAGATTACGGTGTTTATTATTCATGTGACTTTAATTTTCTCTTAGTCTTACTCGTACAAAAGCCATAAAGATCAAATTTTATGACGATTGAAGAATATTTAGATGTGTGTAACAATATTGGTCACTTCTATCTCATTGGTGTGAAGTACATTATAAATAGGTTGCAGCGGCGCGCTGCCCGCATCATTGGCGATGAAGAGGTAACGAAGAAACTCGAGTCTCTACAATTACGCCGTGATGTGGCATCATGTAGCGCATTCTACCGACTATACCACGGCAAGTGTTCTAAGGAGCTATTCTCGCTTATGCCTCCATCACCTTTTCTTCAGAGGACCACGCGCGCTAGCCTACGTTGCCACCGACTTTCTGTGGCCACTTTTCCTTTTTTTTTACGCGAACAAAGAAATTTGGTGACTCATTTATTTGTCGTACTATTCGTAAGTGGAATTCTTTACCCGCGCACGTGTTCCCTCCTTCCTATAATCTGGGGTCCTTTAAGAGAGGCGTGAAGAAGCAGTTTCCAGGCCGGCAAGGTTAGGATGGTTTGTGTAGCAGTTGCTATACCAGCTATCTTCGCGTTTGGACTTTATCACCACTTAACATCTGGTGGGGTAGAGTCATTTGCCTACCTCGCTATAAAAAAAAATAAATGTTTTGTAATAGTGTATGTTAGAGACCCAAACTAATAGCCGACAGTAGCCAATGATGGCCATTTCCCTTCGTGATCAATGAAAGGAGTAGGTGACCGATCGCTAAATGTGGTATTATCGAGCGACTTTAGCACGGTGTTGCCATATTTAGTAATCGGAAGCAAATTCCATGGAAATATCTGTGGAATTTTAGTTTAGCAGAGTCCAAAAACTTGCCCTCCGACCAGGGTGATTAAAACCCACATTACGCCATTGTTTCTAAAAACCCTAAAAACTCTAGTTGACTTCATTCTAAAGCTCAAGATTTTGTGGACTTTTCAACTTAAGTTGCACCTACTAATGCATCTAAATATACATCACTATTTAACTTAATTGTAGATATTTATCTATTTACTTAACATTGAGTGTAGCTGATGGCCTTATCATCTTTTGCAATGCATTTTGTTGCAATTCTTATCTCTAAAGCTTTGTCTTACAAGATAACCTTATATCAAAAACTATATTGTTATCTTTGTATATGAAAAAGAAGAGGTATACATTTCAAGAGGATATTAAAAGATTATAATGTGTTATTGTTTATTACTTTATTCCAACATAATAACTTCGGTAATATTACCTGGGAGCATAAGGTGGAATTTATGTTCAACTTCACATAAGAAACCCCAATATACACCTGTTTTGATTCATCTTGTCTGACTCGAAAACATTCAAATGTACCAATACCTTTTTCAAAGAAAATCCTCGTCGATCCGCTTGTTTTCAATCAAAACAGTATCGATTCGTTTTACGTATTAACGTACATGATACTGCGCGGTGCACACTGGTACAAGAAATTGAATTCCAAAACATTTTGTGTAAAACGAAATTCAATCACGCTCTTGTCAATATTTACCGACAAACTATGTATTGCTATACAACTTAGATTTGAAATGTTATCTAATCTAAATTCCAATAAACTAGACTATTATTGAAGTTTAGAGCAAATAAAACCTCATTTGGGTCGAATAGCTTCAAGGTCATAGCTAGGGTAAGGGGAGGGCTTAATGGTTTACGTCAAGGGTTGTCAAAACTTAACAACAGCATAATTTAACTTGTTACGAAAAAACATGAAGCTGTAGATATTAATAATATACGTCACGAATTTACAGGCTGGAGTTAAAATGATTTACTAGAAAAAAAAATAATAAAGAAAAAATATATATACACTCATACCTAATTTAATGCTGTGCCACTTGTGAATCGCATTATGTAAAAGTGTGACATGGTATATTTTAGTATAAATATGACTAACACAGCGGTACCTTAACAACTATGTCAAACACGTCAGCCACACTAAGAGACGTATTTTTTTTTAAAATTTGATGAAATATATTTCCTTTAACACTAGAATGAGACAACATGTATGTACAAACAACATGTTTGAAAGTCTCCAAATTAAGTTGTAAGAACCAACGCCGAAATTCGCAGGCATGCTTGTTCCCGTAGCAAGGTACATATATTCAATTTTTACTCCTTATTGATGCACACCACCATAATAATTTATAGCCATTGCAAACATAAATTGAGTGTACAGTCAGCTTTGGCAGCCCTACCTGTGCCTTTAACATCGAATTGTTGTGGTGAAAAGGAAACCATACTTGTATTCGAATCGAACATAGTACACAAAGAAACATTTGGTAATACGAAATGTTTTGTAGTTGTCTAAAGGCAAACTTAAATGAAAATCAATGTACAAAAGGGAGAGCTATAATGGAACCATGAACGTGAAAATTTTCTTAATACATAACTAGTGATTTTATGTGAAATGAATTTCCACATAAAATCATTGCATCATCATCGTGATAGAGAATCATTAAAGGATTCAGCAGAAATGGATTGTCATACACTGCTGCTATATAATCATTGTGTTACGTAAGTACAATAATAATTTACAACTATCATGATGTTTATCTATCGAATCAAGTACCAACGTAACTGGTGTAGATGGCAATTACGATAGTCAAGTAAAATAAGGGGCTCTGCTAGTATACCTTCTATAGTACTCATAATTATATAAAAAAACACATTTTGCTACTTACACAGATGTTTATAGTTATTACAAATGCGTATATCACGAAAACAATGAAATTCTACGTAACACGAAGTTTAAATTTATAACTTCATGTTTAAAAGGTACCCAAATCGGTTTTCTTCTGGATCATCTTTCTTGTCACCAAATTACTGATGCATTCAATTTAATGTTAATTAAGAGAATATAGCTACGGCTTTTGAGATATGTGGATCCGATTCCCCAATCCTTGTTGCTGTGGCTATACCACCTTATCTTGGAGGATATTTTTTTCGGCCACCACAATGGAGGATATTTTACTGATCTTCACTTACAAATCCTGATGGTCAGATTTAGGTGATACCTCAGTCACCTCACAAATTATATTTTTCACGCACCCATCCTTTAGGAGTCTCTATCTCATGTGAGTACCAGCAGCGGCAGCCATCAACTCTGAATCCTAATAAAATAATAAAACAATCTTGGGCTAAGCATCTTCTCGAGATAGATGATGTATTGAAAGTCGCGCCGAAAACCGCCAGTACGTTACATAACAAGATATGATTTATACCTCGTCATCGCCACTCAATACCCATTCGAAGCGTAACCGAAACGCTTTATAGGTACCATTATTTTTTTCGCAAAACAACCAGAATAGCGATGTCGGTAGGTGAGTTCTTGCTACCTTTAAATACCGACAAAATCTCGTCCTTCATAAATTGCGGCGCGTCATCCCGTTGCTGAAAACAAGTCAAACAAAACGAGATGGATGCGATGGTCCGCCCATAAACAAAGAAATCTGTGTCGACTCTGCCGCGGGAGAGTTATTTTTATTGCAATCGTTTTAATTAAGCCGAAGTCCTTTATTTCTAACGATCGTTATTCCATTTCGTACGTATCAATAAATCTCAGAATGATAATTGATCCGAATACCTGTTGATGACTCATTGTCGTGCACATGACCACAGAATACATAATAGAATTAAGGTTTCATGTATATGTTTGTATTAATTTTACACAATGATACATTGTATACTAAATGAATCAGGTATATATATATCGCTTAATTATTTTCTGAGACAAAAGACATTAAATTGAGGAAAACAAATCAAAGCAAAGCTTCTCTCTTAATACATGAATAATAAATATTTTTTATTTCGTGTAATTTACAACAGCACGTGTGCTTACAAATCTTCAATTCAAAGAAGAAAATTAGGTACGCAAATTGACATATCTGGGATGATCAAATAATCCTATTCTTTGATAAACCAAATCACTGTTGCCAAGTTTCAACAACATAAATTAAGCTAATTAACTAATTTCACGAATCATTGCCCACCAGTGGGACAGTCGCGGTTTGCTTATTACTTACTTTCCCTTTGATATTTCCCGCGTGAAACACCCGAGATTGTGTTTACCTATAGGATAATAATAAATGAGTTGGGAATTTCGTTTTTTTTTTGTATACACCTGCCGCAGATCTAATCTTATAGCAAAACTAGTGTGTGTGAAAATAATTTATACCTATCGCATACAGTATTCCATAATCTTCAAGTTTTATTGACGCAAGAAAAAGAGGTCTTAGTCTTTGTACTTAATTCCCTTCTCAAGATCTTTATTATCTCCATACCAAAATTCCTGTATCGGTTTAGAGAACGTGAAAGTGTAACTAACAGATGTTGTCACTTATAAAATGTATAATGTAAGTATATATTTAAGTATGCAATCTTTGGTTAATTTATTTGCACGAATCATTAAAATATTTCCAAACTACAACTTAGACAAAGTCATTTTCAAATATGTATTTTTTCTTAAGTGTCCTCAGAGGCAGATAATTTTCTGTACTTTTGATACTCCGCAAAGATATGTCAAGAATGATAAATACTAACTTATCTTGCTACTGCAATTAATCTTGAAAGCTGTAGGTGAGGTACTTTCCGCAGTGTCATACAGAATAATACTGTTCACAATTACGACCTCGCCCCAGGAAAATGTAACATTTTCTTGCCACAAGGATGATGCCCACCTGATGGTAAGCGGCTACTGCAGCCTCCTAACTATCGACTCTGTTTACCTTATCCTGAAATCCTTGACTCAGAGACCACACCACTACACCACACAGCAAAAAGATAGATAACAACTGACCTGAACTGAACTGCTGGGGAGTGGGTCTTCAGTGCCCCTGGCAGCTCGCTGTCTCTCCTCCTGAACAGCCTCCCGTTTCATGCCGCAAGCGAGACATTTCTGGTACCGGCAGTATTGACACCGATTTCTTTGTCGTTTGTCTATGATGCAGTTCCGCTCTTCTCGACATGCATACGTCAAGTCTTTCCGCACCGTCCTCTTGAAGAAACCCTTGCAACCTTCGCAACTGTGAACAAACAAAGTAAGAAACTATATTAGCTTTTTTTATTAAATTAACTAACGTGCTCCTGTGACTTCATCAGCTTAAAAAAATCATTAAACCCACAAACTTTTATTTCCTATCTTTCTAATTATATTTAATACTAGCTTTTGCCCGCGACTTCGTCCGCGTTATCGTCGTTTTTCGTAAAAAAGTAGCATATGTCCTTCCTCAGGGTTCCGTGGTTTTGATGTGACAGACAGATTAACTTTCGTATTTTAGTAGGGAAATATAATACTGTTAAAAATATCGCAATAAGGAACCGCAGAATATTATTATTATCACTGTGCCCCGAGACCATCAGCGTGTAACTCCTTGTATGTTATTATGTTAACGTATTGGTAGTATTGTTTAGATCGCTTTCACATGAGTCTTAAGTACATATAGAATGAAAATACTTCAGCGCAAAGCTTCCGGGTAGACTTCGTTGAAATTTGACCCGTCCGGAACGTGAACATAAAAAATTCTAGGACTGCTAACCTGGGAAAGACCGACATAACTGACCATGTGAAAAACAACTGACACCGAGATCTACTCCAACAACACGAAAGGTCTGCCCTTGAGCCTTATTTATTGTCATTGCATAACACACCGATACTGGGAATTGCGTTCTTTTAAATTGGAATGGAAAATTATTTGGTATTATGGGAATTCTGGGAATAAAGATGGTTTCTCCTGCACCGCAACCTATTAAAATTTGAGCCTCGATTACATTTTGTTGCAACTGGGTTACTTTAAGCCGAGTTCCATTGCAAATTTGTGGTGGTCTTAAATTTCGGAGCAGAATAATCGGAATGCCAATTTTTAAACAAATTTCATGAGAAGGAAGTACGGGCGTATTTAAAGAATTTAAAAATTCTATCGGGTAATTAGTGGCTTCTTGTTCATCGGCCATTCTATTTATTGAACTATAAACTTTGCTTTCCCCCTGGATATTCGACAGTATTTTATTATTAATCTCAGATGCCTGGTCATTGCGAGGAGTTAAAAATGGACCTTTCGCATAGCCAAGAATTGTTCTTATTTAATATATTTGTTACGTCACCGTAAACTGACGATGTAAGATGTTGTTGGGATTGCACTATACAACATAACTCAGGCGTCAGAATAAGTTTTCCTTGGTGTAGCAGTGGATAGGTATCTTTGGTGAAGGTATTTTCTTTAATAATATATCAGAAAATTCACGATCATCCGGGTTATCTACAGTTCTCACTCGCATGTTTATAGTCAAATGCACCGATTGTATATCACGCCACAAATAAGAGCTTTTCAGGCAAGCCCTAACCTCAGCAGCTCGGGTTCCCCGTGGTATTACCGTTAAGGTTTGTCGGAAATCACCACAAGATAAAACTGTGATACCGCCCATGGGTCGATCATTTTGTCTTATATCTCTTAAAGTTCTGTCTACCGCTTCTACTCCTTTTCGATGGGCCATCGTACATTCATCCTATATGATTAAATTACACTTTGAACGAATATTTAAACACTACCAAAACAACTAATACGTGGTCCTAACTTTAGCTACCTTACACATAAAATCTAAGTGACTATTTGAACTAAAATATTCTTATAGAATTATAACCAGAAATATATACAACTCACAACAAAAAAGAAATGAAAATAAAGCTGAAACGCCTGTGCAATACTATCTACCTATACCTCCTTCACTTAAAAATAAATACTTATAACTACTTTAATTAATAAAAGTACCTACGCTTAATAATTTTTAATTTGAACGAATATTTAAACACTACCAAAACAACTAATACCTGTTTTACAAAATAACAACAAAAGAATTTCAAATAAACTATTTAAAGACTAAAAGTCGCGCTGATAAGCACGGTTTCGGTCTCCCAGGCGGGGGAGCCTGGGAGAGACCCGGAGATGAGAAATCCTCATGGATACCCTACAGCCGGCTGCAAGGTTATGTCAGACTCGTACTGAGTAAAAAACACCCGTAGGGGCTGCCTCTGGCCGGGAAGGCCTCTAAGGCTTCATCGGAAGCGATCGTCCCCCAGGGGGGGAGCGACGCAGAAAACAGATTTAGACAGCTCGCTCTCGGACCTTTGATACCCTACCGCTGCCGCGACCCGTGTCGAGCGCGGCAACCGTTACACAAAAATAATCCTTATAGCATGATTCAGTATTCACGTGCGACGGCGCGATGGCTTATTTCATGTTTAAGTTTGGTGTTTCTATACCGAGTATTATAAACGTAAGAGTAAACAAATATGATCAGAATGCTCCGAACTGCTAAGCTATCGGGAGTTACACGTGTTATTGTGAGTCAACCACAAAAGATAGACATATGCTGTTGCGGGATATTTTTTAGACAATTTTATGTAGAATATTTCCGTCATACATGATTTCTATGTAACTTTAATCATTAAGGCTGCACACGCGACGGAAGCTTAAAAAATAGAGTAACATCTCCCGTTTTCCCAACATTTCCCTTCACTACTCTGCTCCTATTGATTGTAGCGTGATGAAAAGTATACTATAACCTGCCCAGGAGTATGAAGAATAATTGTACCAAGTTTCGTTAAAATCCGTCGAGTAGTTTTTGTTTCTATAAGGAACATACACACAGACAGACACAGACAAAAAATTTACTGATTGCATTTTTGGCATCAGTATCGATCACTAATCACCCCCTGATAGTTATTTTAAAAATATATTTCATGTACAGAATTGACATCTCTACAGATTTATTATAAGTATAGATATAAAAAGGAGCAAAAAGAACTAAAAGTGATGGTGTAACTTTAATTTGTTAAAAAGAAGTCAGAGACAACATTCGTTTCAAAGCAAGACTAACTTTAGTCCTCGGTTTGGAATAAGGCGGAAAGAGTCACTTTTGCATTTAAACATTCATATGGATTTAGGTCATCTGAATAATATATTTTTAAGCATGTATATGTATAAATACAATAAACTTCTATTTCACGGTAATTTAATTTGCAATTTTCTATTCAAATCATATCTATCAAGATACTCAAAGTATCCAACTCATCCGAGTAGGCATTTTTTAAGCCTTGTCCTAACTAGGAACTAATAAGCCTGTTTTATTTAAATGAGTATTTCATAGGATATTGCGGCGAACAGTGAACAAATTATTGTACCTTAGTAATTTATGATTGCTGATAATTTTATTATATCTATATCATAATTTTACCTAACCCTTGACAAATTCCATGGTCATGCGCACGTACAAAGACTCCATAGTCATGAGACTATTGTATTAGCAATGTGCGCAAAAACATGTAAACAACTAAATATTTATTTCTCTTTCAAAATTTCAAATTTAAATTTTGAACAAATACTGGCGTAGATGTTGTTTGCTCCTTATTTCTTGAATGCGTTATATTATACCTCAGAATTACACCTAATACCTCTTTATTTTGGTCGAAGCCTGATACTAACAAACATGTTGGTGACTAATACGAATTATCTCATCACAAAATCTCTGGACTTGAGTTCAATGTCAATGGTCAAGTAAGACTAACAATGCAACATTAAATGAAATGTAACAATATTAAATGTTTAACGTTACTGGAAGCAAAGGAAAATCTCTGACAGATGTATCTGGCGTGAAGAGACATGTTTTCTGTGAGTTTAAATTTTAAAATAATAAGTCACATATTGAAATGATCACCAAAAAAATATTGATCCTCAAAAAATACAATTGCTTACCTAACCTAAGCTTGGTTACCGATGTACTGTTAGGTGTTCGTTTATTATTTTTTGACGATCATTTAAATATTTCCCAAAAAATAATAGTACCTAAGAATATTTTGATCTCAGATAACAGAATATAATATAATCTTAGATTTTGATTGACTTATTCTAACTAAATCATGCTCTAATTCAGACACTCTCTCTCCTTTTTACTCGACTGCAAAAGTCAAGGTATGTATGTTACGTATATCCACAGGGGCGGTTGGTCAGTAACCATTGTCTTTATATGGCGTCTGCCGCCCCATGCAGCTGTTGGCCCTAGGCTAAATACGCCCCTGTTAATGTCCATTTCTTAAGCACGCCCTACAGCCTAAAAAGCTTGACGGATTTTGCCATGCGAGGGTTAAGGCTCACTTGCAGGAATTTTGCTAAATTTCAATTGAACTAAAACTAGATTTATCCCATACAATGATTTCAAATTGACATTTTGAAAATTTTCTAAGGATTATATTTAGTGTTAGTTGAATCGAAATTTAGCAAATTTACTGAAAGTGGGGCTTGGTATATAAAAAAATGTTAAAATCCAAAATCACTGCTTTATTCCGCAAAAAGGAAACTTCTAGAAAAATATTTTTATTTTGATACAGGTAAGTAAATGATATCAAACAATATCATAAACTCTTCTGTGTTCGCAAGCGCTTATTACTTTGCATAAGGTATGATATTCAAAGAGAACTTTTCCATTACCTTGGCATTCACCTCTTTCTGTGTTCTGTGTCATTCACAGTAGGGCCACAGGACGCCCACGTTCCGTCGTAGTAATTCATTCATTTAGAGACATGATTACATTTTGATTCGCCGGGTGCTTGTCGAGTTTCATAGTTACTATGATTTACCGTTGTGGCCTTCATCTCTCTAACTCTTTTTAGGGGATTTTCATCTATCCCTTTTTTAAGAACTAGATTTCAGAGCCAGAAATTTAGGAGGCAAAATAAGGGAAAACAAACATGTGGCTGTTTCGATCATGATTGGATGATATAGAAAAATTACGAGTTTATTTTATAATTGATTTTATTGTGAAACAATTATGTATATGTACAAAACTGAAAAGACAGGCAAGTGATGATTACGGGATTATCTACAAGTTACCCCGTACGTAACATAAAGTACATCAACCATTTTAACCTCCATAATTATTTTCCACTTGAAGTTGAGTTACCAAACAGTCTGTTTCTGTTTCAGAAACTATCAGAATAGTAATGCAATTCACATACTTTTCCAATGTCGGT